CACACACACACACACACACACACACACACACACGCACACTCCTACCTCTACAGCACCTTGGTGTGTACTATGGCCCTAAGCCAGCCCTTTGATTCAAGATGCAGGTAGCATTCTATAGAAGCAGTTCTCACAGTGTGGTCTGGGGACCTTTGAAGTTACCCTCAGAACCTTTGCAGTCACAAGGGGCCCCAGGCTCAGAGGGGCCCCGTGTTCAATGTAATTATTGCTCTGCTGTGGCTGTCTTGAAATTCTCACTAACTTTTGGACAAGGGACCCCCACGTTTTCAGTTGCACTGGGATTATGTAGCTGCTCTTCATTGTTTGAGATCCTTTCATGGGGCTCATGAGCTCAAAACTATTTTAATAATGATAATGATACATTATTTGCCTCCTTTTTTCTCATTCTTAACACAAGAACACGGTGGAATTTTCTGGCAGCTACATGACGTTTCCAGCAGCTAATGCAACAGACTGAATGCAGAAGCAGATCTGAGGACCCAGCTCTTTTCTCTGAAGCCAGGCATGAAGGAGATTGACAGAAATGAAAAACAATGCTAACTCTTCCACTGCACATCGTTTGCTTTTGGAAAATATAGCCAGTTTTCATAAAAAGCTTGGTGTGCAATGGGTTTTTTAAATTGTTTTGAAACGAATTAACTAATGATTTTTTTTTCTCAGTTTTAGTTTTTAACACATTAAATCTCAACAGATAAAACTCACGAAAAACAAAGTTTTGGAAGATTATCAATAAATTCTAAGAGTGTGAAGGGTGAGCTCCCGGCTAGCCTGGTTGGTAGAGTGAGTGACTCTTTAATCTTGGAGTTGTGAGTTTGGTGTAGTGATTACTTAAAAATAAAATATTAAAAAAAAAGAGTATAAAGAGGTTTGGAGTTCAAAAAGTTTGAAAGCCACAGCTCTATAGATATTTACTATTTCTGTTGGAGGAAAGAAACTATTGAGGAAATGTGATCGGAAGGTATAGTTTATCTTTGTTTCTACTTGTATTAGTCAGGGTCCTCCAGAGAAACAGAACCAACAGGAGAGATACATCTATATATCTGTGTCTATATGTTTATATCTATATCTGTATCTGTATCTATATCTATATATCTATCTAAAAATGGAGATTTGTTATAGGAATTGGTTCATACAACTTATGGAAGCTGAGAATTCCCACGATTGGCTGTCTGCAAACTGGAGACCCAGGAAAGTCGGTGGTGTAATTCATTACGAGCCCAAAGGCCTGAGAAGCGGGAAGGGCAATCATATAAAGCCCAGTCTGAGTCTGAAGTAGAAGCAGGAGAACCAGTGTCCAAGGGCATGAGAAGATCCCAGTGCAGGCAGAGAGCAAATTCACCCTTCCTTTGCCTTTTGTTAGATTCATACCCTCAACGGATTGGATGAGGCCCACCCATGTTGGTAAAGATGATCTTCTTTACTGGGTGCACCAATTCAAATGCTAATCTCTTCCAGAACACCTTCACAGACACACTCAGAAACGTTTCGCCAGCTATCTGGGCATCCCTTACCCAGTCAAGGTGATGCACAAAATTAACTGTCACACTGGTTCGTTGATGTAAGTACATCAATGTCTATTAAAAAATGAGGCAGACACAATCTGTTCCTTACCGTTGCACTTCTGCAGAATTTCCCAAAGTGTCATCCAACACAAATCACTTGCTTTACTTGTTTTTCTCTTCCATAAAAGTTTCAGGGGCTCCCGGGTGACTCAGTCGATTAAGTGTCTGACTTCGACTCAGGTCCACGATCTCATGGTTCGTGAGTTCAAGCCCTGCATCGGGCTCTGTGCTAGCCTGGAGCCTGCTTCAGATTCTGTGTCTCCCTCTCTCTCTCTCTGCCCCTCCCCTACTCGTGCTCTGTCTCTCAATAAATAAAAACATAAAAAAAATTTTTTTTTAATTAAAAAAAAAAAAATAGTTTCAGACTGGCTGGTTCTGGGTTACATCTGGCCACTGGAGTGTTCCAAAATGGAAGAGCTGCTTCAAGAGGCAGTGAACACCTCTTCCCTCAAAGGGTCCAGGCAGAAGCCAGCTGTTCACCTCCAGATGGGTTGCTGCCCCTGCTTCCTATGGGTGCTGGAGAAGGTTTGGCGTGAGGCAGAGTTGACCTCTGAGGTCCCTTGCACCTCTGGCATGTTAGATGAGAAAGTCCTTTGCCTTACCAAGTTCAAACTCCCTGGTTGAAGTGATCATGAATGGGCCCATATCTTAAGAGGAAGACAGAGAGAGAGAGAGGACATTTTGTCAGCATCAAAGCAGTGGTACAGTCACTAGAGATTCCAATCTTCCTTATGAGACCGAGGTACCAGCTGTAGCCTGAAGAGAGAACTTTCTCCCAGGGACGTGTGCGAGAGAGAACGGGGTTGATGGGACAGAGTGGGAATAGGAATTGTGTGTTCACATTCTGATGACTCTGACTCACCGAGGTTGACATTTAAAAAAAAATTTTTTAATGTTTATTTAATTTTGAGAAAGACAGAGTGTGAGTGGGGGAGGGGCAGAGAGAGAGAGAGAGACAGACAGACAGACAGAATCTGAGGCAGGCTTCAAGCTGTCAGCACAGAGCCCGACACAGGGCTCGAACTCATAAACCATGAGATCATGACCTGGGCCAAAGTCAGCCACTTAACCAACTGAGCCACCCAGGCACCCCGAGGTTGACATTTTTTTAAGTCACTGATAACTCTCTTCCCTGTTTGGGGCCCCCTTTCCTTCACTCTGAGCACCAAAGTCCTGACAGGCTTTTTCCCCACTTGCTTTTTGAAAATCCATCTTATAAACGAATGCTAAGGTGCTTGCCTGTTAATAGTTTAACACATTACCCTTGGAAAAGAAACAAGGAGATCCTGGAGATAATATCTCTACCCTGAGGAACAAATCTCCTTAAGCAGGAAATTTTAGATGCTGGGCAGGCTGTCCAGACATTTGGGGGAAAGAACCACGCCTATTGCTTTCAAGGGGTAATCAATTATGTCTGTCCTCCCTTCCTCTCTGCATCCGCCTTTCCTTATTCACTCCCACTTTTCCTCTTCCATACAAGCCTCTGTTATATCTGAGGAGTAGCCTAGGTATTGGGATTCGGAGATGAATAACTTGGCGTCACTGACGACTTCACCAGTGAGTGGAGACAGGGGAGCGGATCATGTGATGCACTGAGACAAGGCTGTAAGGGAGGCTGTCCTCACTGCTAGTGCAGTTTGCCTGGGGTGCAGGGGAAGGATGATCCCTTGACCTGACTCGTGGAGAGGGGGGAAGGATGATCCCTTGACCTGGCTCGTGGAGGGGGATGTGGGTGTTTATCAGGGGGAGCAAGAGAGCAAGAGGCTCCAGGCCCAGGGAGGTGAAGTGAGGTGCCCGAGTTCACACTGGTTATGTTGCTGGACCAACACTGAACCTGGTCTGGCTCCACGGCCTGCACCCTTGACCTGTATGTGGTACTGCCTTTGCCCAAACCGCCAGCCATTCAGTGTGGCCCGGCATAGGGTGAGGTGGGGGGAGAGAGTGGCCAGGAACGAGGCCACGGTCAAGGTTTCACACAGCATCCCTTTAGTCGTCCAGGGAAACAGAAAAGCACGGTAAACATTTATGGACCAGAGAAAAGTAAGGCCCAAGTCTTTGAGGTGTTGTTAACTTATATTCATGTCCCGAGATGGTATTCATTGAATGCCTGCCCTGCGTCTGGACAGCTATCACTCCCTCCCTCTCGAGCTCACGCCTCACATCTTCACAGTCTCCATGGCGTAGGTGGGGACAGTCTTACTGAGCTAAGCAGGATTCACCGTTGAGGGCTCATTGTCATTTCCACCGGAGCTGTATGTAGCTCTTCGTCACTTCCTTCAAAGACCTTTTGCCCCTTCTGACAAATAACCCCACGCGTCTTTTCTTTCTTCTTTTCCATCCTCTTGCTCCCTGCGTCCGGGTTCAGAAGGAATGTGAATTGACCCCCGGGGAAGGTTTCCTGCAGTGGGGAGGATGGTCCGGCCCCTACAACAGCCAAACAAGCAGGAGTTGACCCATCGGTGCCATGCACTCCTTGCTACAGGGTTTTGGTCCCCGATACCTGCCTGACGCTGGCTGACAGCTACTGTTCCACAAGCAGAGGCTCAGGAGAATGGCCCACCCCTCCCGCAAGAATGCGAACAATCAGCTATGAATTTCCAGTGGGACGAACAGGAACCCATTCAGCCAGGAAATCTAAATTGAACAGGATTAAGTCACTCAAGCTCCCTGGCCCCGCTTAACTTCCAGGACTGTAGATGATGCCGTGTTCCTGTTTGCGACCGTTTTCACAGCTGGTCTCCAGAGGGTATCTCACTTGTAAATGAGGTGCTCTGTCTGTGCAGGAGGCACTCTGTGGTGGGTCAGCCCAAGGACTAGGGAGCCAGACAGTCTGGGTTTGAATCCCATGTCTTTCCCTTGCTGTGTGGACAGGTTTCCCATCTCTGGAAACTATGTCTCAGTTTCCTCATCTATGAAATGGGAATCATAACAGTACCAGCCCCATGCTGTTGTTTCATGGTATTATGAGAATTAAGCGAGTTGATACTAGTGATGTGCTTAGAACTACACAGGGCAAACACTTTTAAGGGTTAAAGTAATGAAATAAATATGTTTCATTATCCAGCTACGGGTGGTACTTGCCCCTGTCTCCTTCCTTCAGGACGTCTGTCGTTCGACAGAGGGCACGG